CCCACTGAGATGAATGGAGGTTGCACAGTGGCATTCTTTGGAGGAGGATGGTACCTGCTTGATTCTGAATAAAATTGCTTTGATTCTGATACACAGACAGATGCAAAACTCTTGAATCCAAAATGGTGAATGACCTCTAAAAACGATTCCCAAAGAATATATTCTTGACCTATACTGTATGCCATAAGCCTTTGTTGTTTTGGGGAGATGGGTGGGGAAAGGATGAAAAATGAAACCAAAAAAAAAAAAGTCCTTAAAAACTAAATTGCAATCATCTGTAACACTAAATTCTCTGTGCTATTTTTCTTGAAAGATTTTCCAGTAAGTTGATACTTTGTTCACACAACCAAATCACCTTTTCTGAAGTCCACCTTCAGATTTTTCTGATGACTGCATTAAGTGCCAGTTCAAGTTCTGAGCTCAGTGTTAGATTTACCCCTTGCATTACCAGCTAATAACAAGGGGGGGAGGGGTAATGTGTCATCCAGTCCCCACTGGTAACTTTTTCTTTTAAGCAAAAAGGGTTTATTTTGGAAAGTTAGAAGGGCTTTAATACTACTACTTGATCTGGTTGATTGTAACAGTAGTGAATCTTGAAATACAACCTAGAATTTTAGACATTTTGTTTGAAAGGGAGAGGAAATGATAAATCCAAACCATAGGGCATAATCCATGGGGAATTTTCCTTCTGCAATTCTATAAAAATGCACTTCCTGTCCTTTTGTAATAGTGTGTATTTTGGAGTATAGATTCAGACAGTCATTTCCTCCCCAGTGAGAGTTTACCTTTACAATCATTAAATGAGCCTAGATTTGCAACATTTTTAGCATGTTACATTTTTACAGCTTCTCAGAGATGCACCTGCCAAATCTGTTGCACTTGGGGATTCACACCCAACCTGTCAGGTCACTCAGTTCCATTTCATGCCTGTCACTTGAGAACCACGTAGTCAACAAGTTAACACTTACTGGGAAAGAAAACTGATCATCTGAATCTACCCAGAATGGGGCTTGTGAAGGAGATGTTCTCAATGAAATACGTCTGTAGACTTCTGCCTTAAATGGGCACCAGATTTTGCTGAGATTAGACAATCTGAGCCTATCTAATTCACACAGCCCAGCCTCTCTCCCTACTATGGTGGTGCATTGCACATCAGGGATTCTAAAGCCACCACAAGCAGTAGATGCTTGGGTTTTTTGTTGTTATTGTTGTCATTGGTTGATTTTTAACTGTTGAGATTTTCAGATCAACATGAAATTTGCTAGTGAATTATTAAAACACAGTGAAGAAACAAGACTCTATGCAGACAACTCTAAAGCCTTGAATTCACAAAAGATCATGTTGTTGTTGTTGTTTTTAAGTAAAGGAAAAATATTATGGACACTGATGATTATGCAAATATTAAAAGTGACTGCATTCTGGGGAAAGGGGAATTTTAAACAACCCTTCAGTAGTTAGAGGATATTGTAAAATGTTAAAACCTCTTAATTGGCTTATTTGGAAAGTGGGAAGGGACAACCAAAGTAATGTATCTGCTTGGCAGAGAAAATAGACATAGGTTCCATCCCATGTATTAGGTATTTTCAATCACAAGTGCAATTTGGTTTTTACCTTTGAAGGCTGACCTTTTCCATGAGTTGAACCTTAGTGGCTTTAAGTACTCAAAAACATATTTCTTTTATAAATATTCTGTTGCTCTGAGCATATCAAAGCAAGTCCCAAACTCCTTAAAACATGCAGATCTCTGTGAAAAGTTCAACAGTGTTTAATTTAAATTGGTTGCACAGCTATGGACCCAATTCCTACTGTGAATGCCTGCACCGGAAGCCATATTGAAAGCATTGGGAACTTCACACAAACACAGCCATGTTGTTGCACAGAGCTCACCCAGTGCATTCAGTAGGGCTTGCGTAAAAGGCATTCTAGGGTGGAATTATGTCTTGCATCTGGCTCTTAAGGCATCTAGTTTTATAATTTGCTATGAATAGAACCGGAAGATGTTAATTTATGCCTGCCCTCAAAGTGTAGACTTGCTTAACTATTAGGCAAACAATATTCCATTTTGGGAGCTTAGTAATGAATGGAGTAATTGTTTTTGAATCTTTTATTGTCTGACAACATTCGCATTGTAAATAATTAAGGAACTTTCAAATTTAATTTATCTTGCAAAATTTGCAGTGACTGGGTTGTTAGAAAGATTTTAATTTAAGAGATACGATTTTTATAGACTTTCCAGCTTCTCATTATGACTCCTGCAGTTTTCTTAACCTAAAAAAAATAATAATAAAAAACGTTGCAATGGTGAACAAAGAAATATACAAAAATAATGAAACCCATAATTTTGTATCTTTATTTTGGAATTTCTTGTTCTATTATAAATATTGAAGTATCCCTATTTCAGAAGACATATTTTGTTAATTGATTGTACATATTTAAATATGTATTTTTGCACAGGTCTTTTTTTTCTTATATCCAGTTTTGGTACAATTGAAAATCATCTAGTATTTATTAATTAAAAAAAAAGCAAATACCCTTTTTTATAATTTGAAGTGGTTCACTGCCAAGCCAATAGTTAACATGCCTACTTTGCAGTTTTTAAGGGATGCCTCTGTTTTGGGAGTGGGGAGGGGGGGAGTTCTGTCCCTTGTCTTGGGAGTTGCTACATACAAATGAAAGGTTGTGATGTTGCAGTCCTATGCCCACAGTTTCCCTGTTTCTTAGTGGGGAGGCTTTGTGGCATTTGGTCGCGTGTTGTTGGCCTACTCTGGTATATACAGCATAGCTTACAATTGCCTGATTTCCAGAAGACTACATTTAGTTGTGACACACTGCTTTTTTTTTTTCTTTTTAGCATTTGTGTGTATGTGTATGTGCACACCTCTGTGCCCACATATGGGCTCATTGGTGTGAGTCTTTACATGGTTTAAAACTAATGGAAAAACTGAAAGTGCCTGATTTATATATCTAGATTTTAAGCTTGGACTGTTCTTTAGACAGCTTCTCCTTTAAAGACTTGAATGTTCTGTTGAAAAAAAAAAAAAGTCGAGCTTGCTTTTCCCACCTCCATATGACTTTCCATTAATGAGGAAGAGAGGATGCAGGGGAATGAAATACAATAAAACACAAATGATCAGACTGAAACAAGTCCTCAGTTCGTAAATAATGCCAAGGATTCTGCAGATAGGTTTCAACAAGTGAATTCAAATACCTGTAGTTCTGTTGTAATCAGATAGAACTTTTTTTAAGGATACAGATTGTTGACATTTTGTATTACTGAAAAAAAGTTACCTCTCAAAGCAATTTTACGAGCTACCTACACAAGCCACTGACAACCACTGTCCTGTACACAGTCCTCATTGAAATGAATAGGAGTTTTGCAGTGGTACAAATCCCTGTTCATTTCAGTGAAGTCTGCTTGGCCCCGGTGAGCTTGTACTCATAGTGTGATTTCAGCCCTTCATTTTCCGGTAAGTTGTCTTCCGGCAAGAGTTGTTATTGCCAAGTATCCTTTTGTCTCTGTCTTTTGGGGATTGGTAATTGTAGGGTGAAGGGGATTGGACTTGAAGATTGTTCTGCTTTCCTTCAGCGGAAAACTTGTTATGTTAAATGCTTTGTGCAAAATATTCTACTTTTTATGAAAGGTGTTTATTATTATTATTATTTTTTAATGAGCACTACATAATGTCAATGAGAATGTAGGCCATGGAAGCTTCTTGCTTTGGAGCTGAGCCTAGCTCCATAGAGAGGGTGGGGGAAAAGCAATCTCCTATGTAAAATGTGTGAATAGTTTGATAATTTGTATACATATTCAAGAGCATCTGCTCAGAGCTGAACTTTTGTGTTGGCTGCTGTATAGTACATGAACAAATGTCATGGGGTAGAAAAAATTACTTTGGATATTTAAAAGAAGAAAATATATAGTCTATTTGTTTTGTAACAGGTTTCTGTAAATAAAATAATTTATACTATTTATAAAAAAAAGTTGTGCTTTTGCTTCATGATCAGAAAATTAAGCTTGCAGAATAAACAAAATGTGACTTAACCGAGATAATAAACAATACTAGGTTGTCTTTATGAGATTCACAATGTTTGTTTTATAATGAAATCAACAAAACCTGGACTGAACTAAGAGATGTGTCATTATTATTTTTGTCTGCAAAGAATCCCAACTGTATTTCTAAATCAGGTACATGTGAGCAGCTATAGAACCCCATACGCAAACAGGGTTTACACACGTGGGGTCATACAGCTGTCTGCATCTTCCTACCTGTATATGTAAATCAGGTAGATGCAAAACAGAATTAATGCCTCCTTGCCACCTTTAAAAGCTTTATGGATGTTAAGAAAGCAACATGATAGACTCTGAATTGTCTCTTGTCAGTTCTAGACATCAGAACACATCAGGGACCTGTACAATATCTAATTGCTAATTTGATGCTGCAACAATGGCATGAAGTGTTTGGATGCTTTTTAAGTAGGAAAGCAGAAAAAAATACTTCAAATGAAATAAGTGAGACAAAGTGAATAAATCTGACTAATCTTCTCAAATTCTAAATTATCATGGAGAACAGATAGCCTTGCCATATCATTGAAGATGGACAGGTAGGAACTAAACCATGTCCTCACTTATGACAAGATGTGCACTTGAGAATTTTTTTTTTTTGTTCAACCAAGACCACCACAGCAAGTGAAATGTCCTCCAGAGGATACAGAAAATGGGAACTCATAACAAATTTAATTTTCTCCTACTTTTTCTGGAAGGCATTTCATGACCCACTTTATCAATGAAAATGCAATTTCAAGGTTAAAAACTCTCTTGAATTTTATATAAAGTTTATAATTATTTTAAGAGACACTCAGGATGTAGATTGATTGATTTCTTTCAATATCTAGCCTTTTCATGTAGAATAGACACTGTTCCCAAGTGCCTTGTAACCATAATTCAGCAGCCAAACAATGTTGATTCTACGACAAACAGGATTATAGATCACACCAAAGCCTCAGGCCAAATGTAACCTGAAGGTTACTCATTATGTTGTCTTTATTACAGGCAAACTCTCCCTGTAACATTTCACCAAAGGCAACATCTACAGAAATTAAGTTTGTAATACTTCATTAGGATACACAGAAGTCCAGATACCTTCATCGTCTCTTCTATAAAAACATTGCACCTAAAGGCCGCTGTGGGATCCTTTGCGAATGCACTGTAACACTGAAATACCCTGCCTTCAAATAGCTATAGGTCACAATAATGCAGTTCTTAAACTACCTGGAGACTTTATCCAATTTAGGGGAAAGTAAAGCATTATTTTAATGGTCAGTTCCTTCTAGATGTATAGGGAACAACAAAAAGTTTTTTTCCCTATTTGATTAAAAAGACTGAATAGTTTTAAATAATTCGATAGACCATATGAAGTATAAATCTGATCCTTCTTCCATCTCAACTATTTGTCTAGTTTGATAATCACTAGGAATATCATCTCAAAAATCATGATTTTCAGGAACCCAGAGATTTTTTCAGAAGCTAGTGGATCTTTTTTTCTTTAAGCAACTTGTGAACATGTGAATCTCTGATACGTGATGCTGCCACCTGCTGTTGATATTGGGACTCAACCCACTTAACATGGTCTCTTGAAGAACCTCCATAACATGTGGACATTTTTCCTAGAAACTGCCCAAACACTAGCATAAAGAAATGTAATTCTATCCAAATTCTGAACAGTTCAAAGGTTCTTGAGTATGGCAGTAACAATCATTGCTGTTCAAACCCCACAAAAAGCTGGAACAGCTCTGGCCAAAATAACATGTATCTACTTAATCTTCTGAATGATCAAACTGATAAAATCCAAAAGCTACAAGAATCACATCTGCCAATGCCTGTTAAGATTTTCTGGATTACCTATAAAACTGATCATAATGGAGGAAATGCATGTATCAAAAGTGTATCACACTGACTTGTTAGGACATCTATATCTACTGCCTTCAGGCAGGGATGTCAGGACATGAAGGACTTCCCTTATACATTTCTAGGTATTGCAAAGAAATCCAAAGAATGGATGCCGAATCATTTCATCAGATGCTTGAATGTTGCTGCCTAGTTCTAAGTCAACTTACTGGCCATGTAGAGTTTTGCTGGTTGATCCTACCAGAATACACCAGGACTGAAAAGTTACTTATCCAAGAGATCTCAATGCCCTTCTGGTTAGTGATGCACGCCTGTAAGGTAGCCAACATATTCTTATGCAAATAGGGTGTATACATTTGTAAAGGTCATATAGTTGTCTGCCAATAACCCCAGCTCTGTGCTTGGCCTGTTTCCTTGAATGCAAATAAAACTGATACAGAAAATTCCTGACAGCTTCTCACTTAACTAGAGTATGAGAAGCAGGACTTGATTACACAATGTCATACAATGTTCAAGTCCAAAGCACTTCTCCAAGATTCCTGAGCAATAAGGAAAGGCCTTACAAACCTGTAATTCCAGTACAAAATAAATGGAAAAAATGGGTAGTGGTGTCACCAAGGATACGAGAGTTGTGCTTTTTTATTTGTTCATAAACAATATGGAATTAGGAATATAATGGTGGTTGTATTTAACACAAAAAGGAGCAATGAAAGATTTCTCTTTACTGAAAAAAGGCAGTGTAATGAAAAATGTGATTCCAGATCTTTAAAAAAATGCACATACCTAAGACTACATATGGTATGAAGTTGGCTAAGGAAAAACAATCTTTCTCATGTTACAATTTGGGCTCATCCAATAAAGCAAATATTTCAGAACAGATAAATTATTTCCTTTTATCACCTAGCATAATGTTGACTTGAATAAATGACTGTTCCTAGATGAGGCCTACGAATTTTAGTATCTTTATCTGAAAAATTAATGGAGCATAACAATAATTACTAATCACAATGCTGTACCCCACTTGCCAAATAACACGAGTGCCCTGCTGGTCCTCTTTCCATTGCACCTTGTTGGACTAGTAAGAAAAGCTGTGAAAGATGAGACTTGCATTCTCATTCAAAAAGCAAAGGCTACAACCAGCTCAGCCTCTGGTAACAAAAACTAGTACTAAGCTTTAAATTAAATTAAACTTCGTAACTCAGGAACAAAACAGTCAACCGCACTGTACATTTAATAAATGACAATGATCAGAAAAACATGAATATTCATATAATTCAATTGTTTACACAAAGAAATAGACTGCAAAAGCCCTAACTAGACCATGGTTACATTTCCTTAGCTACAGTACAAGGTATATAATATAGTGATAATTATTTCCAGAATGGTTCTGACTGAATGATACATTCCCTTTTTGTTTTACTTCTAAAATTTACATATTAATTACTCTAGAAAGCTTCTGCACTCGGTTTAACAACAAATCTCCTTTTTTGATGGTTTCTTGATACTGCCAGTTTTTGCTGTCAGGCCTACAAATGGGGGGAAAAAAAAATTATTGAGAGATTGTTCAAACACCAGTTGGCTTTCAAACTGTGATTCTAAGAAGTCTATGAATAAGAGTCTTGTAAAGCACTGTATTTACCACTACCAGTTTTCCCTTACAAGATATAACCAGGAGAAAGCAAGGGTGTTTGGGGCTATATGTTTATTTGAAATTTGGCCCAGGTGAGAAAGTAATTGAAGGTAGAACACACCCCCAGGGTCCCCAATGGCAGATGGGCTGATTACTAAAACGCTTATGAAGAGAGGAAGTTAATTTGGCCGGGGGGGGGCAATATGGCTTTGATCAAGCTATCATTTCAGCTCATACTCACCAATGTAAAATAGAAAGAGCATATCAGCAATACATTTGGCAGGACAGCAACTTACAGTCTGCAAATCTTGTAATGTTACTATTACAATTATTAATAATTACTATTATTATCCAAATAATGCCATTGCCTTAAACAATATTCAGTAAGAAGCTTGACAGCTACCTGTTGGTTTCTACTATTTCATTGACTTTGTCAATTTTGCAATGTAGTCTCCCAGCAGCAATAAATCTTGAAAGTTCCCTGTTTGGGGAAAAAAAAAAGATCCTTCATTGTTGATTTCAGGGCACCATCTTAAGATGGTAAAGTCCCTTTACTGTAAAGTCCCTTTGTAACAGCACACAGCTAAAATGCCTGACATTTTAGGCCCAGTCTAAACCTTACCTCTTCTTTTTAGAAAGACTGGGAGGAGAGACCAAGCCTGCCATAGTGACCTACTGCAGCCAATGTTAGCACGATGCACCCAACAGTCTCTTCCTCAAAGACATGTCAGAAAATGTTCAAAGCTGTAGCTAGGGCATAATTAAATGCTGTTCTGCTGATTGTTTATAGCTTTGAAACTTAAGACCTGCAATTAGCAAACCACATGGGAATGAAAATTGCTTAGTGGCAGCACATAGTCTCTGTTCGGTTTTTGCTTTTTAGCCTGTGAATGTTACCTACACTTCTAAAACAAATGGCTCCAATGACCACTACTGGTGGTGCATGGCACAGTAACAAATACAACAGCATGCAACACCAATACATTATCAGCAATGGCTTTTAACCTTGATTTTATTTTCCATAATCAAGGAACATACCAGTAGGTCTTCATCTGATAACAATAGGATGATGCTAACCAATGAAAAGCAGTATCTGATCTGGGTCCAGAAGCTTAAATGCAGCCAGAACAATTACTGCAGAGTACGCTGTACATATTCCTATAGCCCTTGATTACCAAAACAGACATCAAAGCAATCTCTTATCAGACCCTCCCTATGCAGCATATTGTAGCAGTTGAGAGAAGCTGTAATTTGAATAGATGGTCAAGATATCCCTGCTCTTATCCTACAAAATAAGATACTGTACTACAAATACTATTGTTAGAGGACAGTTCTGGTTATCTAGGTAATCTCAGCTCCTCTGGTTAGTCTCACACACACATCCCTTTCTCCAACAAGTATATAAATTTCCTCTTGAGCTACCAAGTTATCAAGCAGTATCTTCTGACTCACAGGCTACAGCAGAGCCCCTGAGGGCTTTGGTTAATACTGAAACAATAGGGTCCTATCTACTTTGTTAATCAGCTTGCTATTCTTAGTATGCTGAAAATATCTAGTTTATCACCCTTTGCAAACTCCTCTATACAGTAACAGAATTGGAGACAATCAATTTTCATGGCCTTATATTTATCTCCTCCCTTTCTACACCAACTGTGAATGCAATCAAATCCAAAACACTTAAATCAATGAAGAATCAGCTCATACAGTACTCTGCAAAAGTTTTAAGCAGGTTTGAAAAAATGCTGTAAAGTAAGAATGCTTTCAAAAATATATATTGTAATTGTTTATGTTTATCAATTTACAAAATGCAGTAAGCAAACAGAAGAGAAATCTAAATCAAACCAATATTTGGTGTGACTACCCTTTGGCTTCAAACCAGCATCAATTCTTACACTTGCACACTTTGTACACTTGTACAAGTCAGGGATCTTGTAGGATTAGAGTCACGTGTATGATTAACCAATTATACCAATCAGGTGCTAATGAA